ACAGGATGAAAGGGTCTCTAAAAATATAATGGACTTAATCCTCAGCAGGTATAAATTGAGATTTATGGAGCTGCATTAGATTATGCTATCTGGGATGTGAACTTAAAAAGAGCCAAATTCTGTTCTGTGTTACAGTGTTCTAAAGCTGCAATAAATCAGCTCAGTGAGTAAACAAAATACACGAGAAAAGACATTGTTTCTGTATGTTATTTGCTGTTGGTTTATTTCATTATTATTATGCCTTTAACTGGGGCAGGTTCAGTCTTTCACCAGTCAGCTTTTATGTTTTATTGCCTTATCAATAATGAATGTACATGAATATGTAATAACCAGCTATTTAATTAATGTATTCAACATTGTGAGACTAGCGATGAGTAAAATCTATACTCTTTTTAGAAAAAGAATATCGAATATGATGAAATCTCTGTTGCAGATTTCTTTTCTGTTTTTTACTTGACATCATTGTCAGATCAACAATTCAAAGTAATAATTGATTTCCACGTCAGATCTTTTAAGAAAACAAAAGATGGATATCTAGAGGAGAGATGAAGAATAATTACAATAAATACGTATTCTTAAAAATAGAACATTGTTTAAGATAAAATACTGAAACTAATATCTGTCCTTTGGGAACATGAGCAAAAAGAAAGTGGTGTTACAGCTCTGAGATAAAGATGTTTGCATTTGGCTATTGTTAAGGATGTGTGTAGTTCGTTGAAGGCAGTGGGACTATTTATTTATTTAATATTAATTGTATAAAGGGTTTTCCAGATTTTAGTCTTTGTCACTGCATGAAAAATCTCCCCAGTTTGAGAACAGGAAAACCAGAGGATAGGTGCCAGGAGATGAGGGTAGTTTACAGTAAGGCGTTTAGCAATTTATGTCCTCTTTGTGAGGCCAATTTCTGTCTGGGTAAAAGAGTCTTGTGATTTTGGAGTGCAAAATATTCTCTCTGACACTGGGTTTCTTGTGTTTTACATCAGAAAATCCAATCCAGTAGAAAAAAATGCTAATGTTGTTTGCAAGTAAAGTAATGCTTGTCATTATTATGGTAATGTCGTCTTTGTATGCCTCTCAGAGGTAAATACTCTTTTGTTAGATTAACGCTATACAGGAGGACTCCAGGCAAAGGATCATGTTTCAACCTTTTTTTCTTCTGTAATTTTACCTGTCACTCTATTTGACTAAAATACCACCTACTTTTTTCAGATAGATCTGTGACTCAGGACTAGTGTCAATCAAATAATATTCACAAACAATTTATTCAGAGTATTGCCAAATTTTATCAGGTCATTCTTTTTTATGTGTGATACTAGCTCTTCCCAAATCAAGATAATGTTTGCATTTTTCAGTAAGTGTGTTTTTGACATTGATCTGAAAACCTTACTGATGACAGAAAGGGGTAGAATTCTCAACAGAGAAAGGAGAAAACAGAGTGAACTAGGAAGTCAAACTGTATTAGTGATAGAAATTTTCTATTCTTTAGTCCTTGCATTAATAAGCAATTCACCAGCACACATAGTTCTATTGATAAGAACATAGTATACATCCCTGCTTGTCATGATAACGAGTATCTTACTGTGCAAGTCATTTCTTTGATTTTCTAAAACATTTTTGGAAGACACTTTGCTGTCATGCTTGCTCTCTTATGAACAAGATGGAGATAATCTGATTCAGAGTGCATAAACAATTCCAACTTTTTTTTTTCAAAGTCTACTTACAGTTCTCTTGGCTTCCATCACCATGTATAGACCAAATTGATTACCAGTTGCTCTGTCTCCATTGTATTGCTTCAGTGCTGTGTCGACAGCTTTAAAGACAACAGGGTCATCACAGTCCAAAAACTCAAATGGAAGAGGGATGGCTCTGCCAGATAAAAAACTGCAGCAGAGTGCTAGTACAAAGAAAGGTCTCATAATTGTACAAAAAAGCCTCCCTGAATTAGAAGGCTCTTTAAAAACCAAAAGGAAAAGGAATGCCTGACAGGGCTTTAGTCACCTCTTCTATTTTTCAGGAGCAATAGCTACGTAAACAGAATAAGTGAGTTACTGGGGTTGGTTGGCTCTCATCATACCCTGTTTATACTGCAAATAAACTGGGTTTGTCTAAATAAACTTTGTGTGGTCACCAGAATGACACTAAGGTTATCCACCTGCCATCAAGATAACAGGCTAAATGCCTACAGCTGGGAACAGGTTTAGACTAAGCAGGGATGGCCCCTGAGCAAAAGAGAAAGCAGAGTATTTGTAGGTTTCTGGCTTCTTTTCTTAACATCTAAATTGCTACTGAGAATGAATTTTAGAAGGCTTAAAAAAAACACACAGGAAGGTCACAGTGGCAATGAAGTTCTGGTTCTGGACAACAACCCTGTAAATTTTATAGATCTGTTTAGTGTTCAGACTGCAGTATTTCTGAGAAGTGAAATCATGTTTGAAAAAAGTCTTTGGACAGATTCATATCATTGAATGTCATGTAACTCTTCAATAACACTTGATAAACCTTCTTCTTCATGCTACTAGTGGAAGTGTCCATCTTTGCCGCCATGTGGAGACTGCCTTTGGACCATGGATTAGTCAGTCTTCATAACATTTTGTTATCATTACAGATAGGGAAAGTGATGCCCAAGAATAAGGGATTAAGTAATGTTGCCCATGTCTTGCAGAGCCTGAATTAGAGCTGGCTGGGAACATCTGGTGCTTGTCTCCAGGGCTAAGCACCAACAGCCTTGCTTTGAATCTGTGAACACCTCAGCTGGGATTGCCTCAGCTTCAGTGTTCCAGTTGTGTCTTGCTGTATTGGGTTTGTGTGGCAAGGTTTTGGTAGCAGGGGGACTTCTGTGAGAAGCTGCCAGAAGCTCCCCTTATGTCCGATGGAGCCAATGCCAGCCAGCTCCAGGACAGCCCCACCGCTGGCCAAGGCTGAGCCTATCAGTGACGGTGGTAGCACCTCTGGGATAATATATTTAAGAAGGGGAAAAAAAACCCTGCGCAATGGCAGATTTGGCCAGAAAGAGGAGTGAGAACGTGTGAGAGAAACAGCCCCGCAGCACCCGGGTGAGTGCAGTAGGAGGAGGAGGTGCTGCAGGCCCGGAGCAGAGGCAGAGATTCCCCGCCAGCCCCTGGTGCAGCCCATGGTGAGCCCAGCTGTCCCACGGAGACCCACGCTGGAGCAGATCCCCACCTGCAGCCCAGGGAGGACCCCACGCCGGAGCAGGGGGATGCCCAAAGGAGGCTGTGACCCTGTGGGAAGCCCATGTTGGAGCAGGCTCCTGGCAGGACTCGTGGCCCCACGGGGGACCCATGCTGGAGCAGTCTGTTCCTGAAGGACTGCACCCCATGGAAGGGACCCGCGCTGGAGCAGTTTGTGGAGGACTGTCTCCCATGGGAGGGACCCCAGGCTGGAGCAGGGGCAGAGTGTGAGGAGTCCTCCCCCTGAGGAGGAAGGAGCGACAGAGACAACGTGTGATGAACTGACCACCACTCACATTCCCCATCCCCCTGTGCCACTGGCAGGGAGTAGGTAGAGAAAATCAGGAGTAAAGTTAAGCCCGGTAAGAAGGGAGGGATGCGGGAAGATGTTTTGAAGATTTGGTTTTATTTCTCATTATCCTACTCTGATTTGATTGGTAATAAATTAAACTGATTTCCCCAAGTCAAGTCAGTTTTGCCCATGATGGTAATTGGTGGGTGATTTCTCCCTGTCCTTATCTCAACACGAGCGTTTTGTTATAGTTTCTCTCCCCTGTCCAGTTGAGGAGGGGGAGCGAAAGAGTGGCATCAGTGGTCACCTGACATCCAGTCAAGGTCAACCCACCACACTTAGTACAAGTTTTGGTTAAAGAAAATGCACTTTAGAGACTTTGTAGATGCCAGAAATAAGGTTGTGATAACACACTTTTAAAAATTAGACAACCTTCACTCAGTTACACAAAATGCTGTCCCCGTTTTGTTTGTTTTCTTCAGTGTAGCCCTCACACTGTACTTTACTTTGTGACATTAGAAAGCTACTCTGAGGACCAAATTACTAATTTTTTGAGATTAATCCCATGTTCTTACTTATGAGATAACTGTTCTGAACTAACTCATTGGGGTCCCAGGTCTGTCTGAATGGACTTTCCCTTAATGGGAGCTACAGGATAAAGAGACACCAGTATTCTTTCTTCCTGTCCCTTCTGACTCAGTTTCCTGTGAGGACACTTCAGTGATAAAGAAAACATTTACATGAAAGAGTTATTACATGCATCTGCTTTTCTCCTCCCCTGAGAGCAATTATGAACTATTTGAAAAGGGCTGTCCTTGAATGCAGTATTTCTGGTATATCACCACCAGTAACTTCTAGCAATGGAAGCACCTGTGCAGGCCACCCTGCAATGTTACACTACAAGTCATTAACTATTCTCAGACCTTTTCTAGATAATGGTGGTAACCCAACCACCATTAGTCAATTTATGCTAGAGTATGCCTCACGGATGTTTACTGCGCAGCTAGACATCCATGGTAACAAAAAAGATGAAACTTTGGCAACTGTGTCAAGAAAAAAAAATGCTTACATACTTTTATTTTCTTTGAATCTTTAGAAAGCATGAATGTAGGGCCATGGATAATTTTTTATGGAAGGAGGTCAAATTTCTTCTAGGTCAGATTTGCTCAGAGAAGTACATTATAATTACGAGTGATGAGAAAATGAAGATTTTAGATGGTAGTTTTCACTATTAGGGAATTTTCATTTTTGTTAGAAGTAAAGGAGCATTGTTTGCTGTGGAGATTTGTACTCATTCACAATATCTGAGGGGCTCAGAATTTTGAGCCTTTCAGTTACAGTGGAGTCTGAGATAGCTGTGATCAAGAGGCAGGTTGGAATACTTGTCTTAATCATTATTTTCAGTGCTTCTCCTCCCTAGAAATTGTATGCTTTTTCCCCTTCTCCACATGCTGCTTTCAGTCATTGTACAACTGTCATTGGCCCCGCAACTCTCAAGCCAGAAACATCTTTCTCTGAGGTCAAGTAGAAGAGTTTTCTGCCATGGAACTATGTGGAAATAAAGGCAAAATTTTTGGAAGAACAAGTTTGGGATTTCCTGGGCATGATTTTGATTGTGTAGGGTGATTTGGAAAACTTGGAGCTTCTATCATCTCCTTTAGACTTGAACCAGTGAAGGGAATACCTTCGCCAGTGCTGGAGGAGTGAGGGTTGCTTTGGGATAGCTGAGAAAATTTTGCAGTGGGAGGTGTGAGAGAGTCCTGCTGAGTTAGAACTGGAATGCGATAGACAGCTCCTATTACTTGGAATGGAAAATACTTTCCCGATATGCTTGTCTTGTTGCAGTGATGTCTGTAGTAGTGATGACAGAGATGAGGAGGGTGTCCTGGAAGAGGAGGGTGATGTGGTCCATGATGGGGAGGAGGATGGTGGTGATGAGGTCCACCATGGGGAGGAGGTGGAGGACAATGTGGTCTACAAGGGGGAGCAGAATGGTGGTGATGTGGTCCATGAGGAGGGGAAGGACAGTGTGGTCCATGATGGGGATGAAGAGGAGGATAATGTGGTTCTTCATGGGGAGGAGGAGGAGAAGGGAAATGATGTAATTCCTCTTGGGGAGGAGGATGTGATCCATCAGGAGGAGGAGGAGGAGGGTGGTGATGTGGTCCACCGTGGGGAGGAGGTGGAGGACAATGGTGTGGAGGGTGAGGGTGGTGATGTGGTCCACCGTGGGGAGGAGGTGGAGGACAATGGTGTGGAGGGTGAGGGTGGTGATGTGGTCCACCGTGGGGAGGAGGTGGAGGACAATGGTGTGGAGGGTGAAGGTGGTGATGTGATCTGCCATGGGGGAGAGAAGGAGGAGCAGGTCCTTCATGGCTGTCTTGATGTTCTTCATTGAAACTATGGTTATGCTCAGGGTCTTCAGGTCTGGATTGAGAAGAGGGTGGACATCCATGTCTGTGATGATGTCTGTGATGATGTCTGTGACCAAAATGATGATGGGGATGGGGATGTCTGTGTGGTCGTCCCAGAGCTGAGTATCTGCATCTTTGCCCAAAGTCATGCTGCTGTTTATAAAAACACCAGAGGAGGAAGTATTGAGATGTTAATAGGACAGAAGAAGTTGTGAGAAAGAGAGAGGGGTGGGAGTTAGTAGGTTTGCATTTACGGTTCTGGTGATCTGTAGTGAAAAAAAATCCCGTGTTTTTTTCAGGATAAAAGAGGAGTAGATGATAAAATGCCACATTACTGAAAATCATTGGGAAATACTGCACCATAACAAAATGAAAAATTTTGTTGAGAAAAAATTTGAGCTGAGAAAAATTTGTAATGGATCAAAACAAAATAAAACCCACACTGGGGTAGCTGTTGTAATATAAACTAGAATACTAGATATGATAAAAATCATGTCCCCTTCTCTTGCTTTTAAAATTCCTTTGAACTTGTTTGTCAATCTCTATTCACTAACTAAGGAGTATGATTGGACTGAGAGAAGACACTTTTGGAGCGAGTATTAGGGAAAGCTCAATTCCAATTCATCGTCTGATTGACCTAGCAGTCAAAAGCCAGTCTGTCCTGACATGCTGCATCGCACCGAGGTGGTAATAAAGGGACATAATCGGCCATTGCAATCATCTGTCAGTCTGGACTAAGTGAGGTTGCTGTAGCCTGCATGAGGATATAGCCAGAGACATTTCAGTAAGTGAGTACATACCTGGGGATGGTAGATTTCACAGTTTATATCTGTTCCATCAGGTTCATCTGAATCACTGATAATTCTTGCTCTGCAGAATCCCACGTGCTAAGCAAAAGAAAAGAAAAAAACCCAATGCACATCTGGATTCTCGTGGTGGAGTTAATAGAAGCTACTGAAAGTTCAACATTTTAAAAGTTAGGCTAGTTCCTTTGATACCTGAATACGTTTACATAACTTACCTAGATCCTGAGCTTTCTGACCAGAGATACTTGCCAGTGATTAATAAGGATTAAAATATATGCCATTTTTGAGTGTTCTTGACTGTGAAGACCACTTCGCCATGTGCATCTAGAGGGCTACTACTCTCCATCTTCTTGCTCTTTTGATGTCTGTAAGAAACTGGTCAGCTACTGATGTCTTCAAAATGACTAACCTGTGGGTGACTGATTTTTATTCTTTTTTCTGTCTTTGCTTGTCAAACATCTGTTCAGATTGGGCTATTCTGAAATTTTGCCTCAATTTTGCCAGTGTCCTCCAAAACACACTGTGTAGCTAAACTGTTTCAGATGAAGCTCAAGGTAGAGCTTGCTTCTGTATTTATTTTTTGAAAAGTAGTTTGTTGTAATCTTTTGGCATTACAGTGACTTTGTTGTGACTTTCACCTGCTGTCCAGTTGTATGTGGAATTGCTCATGTGAAAGAGCATAGAACTCGGATAAGGAGTTCTGTGTATGCTCTCTGTAGTGGATGCTTTATCTTGATATATGTTTGGGCTAATAGTAGCTTATTATGATCAGTGATTAGAAATGTTAATAGCATTTTACACACACACACACCAGTGGTCGCAACATTGAGAACAGAATTCAAAACCTCATCTGGCTTGTGCTTCATTCTAGTGAACTTTTGGCTCTGCTACCAGTTAATTCACAACCTTTTCCAGACTTCTGGAGTTTAAAGAGCCAGAGAAGAAAATGGATGTAGATAAAACAAAAGTTATACATGTTTTATTTTTGCCATATTTTTATTTCATTCCTCCAATTTCCTTTCTAGAGAATAATTTATTCTGAAATTATGATCTTGCCTAGTTGTTTCTTTGGTGTAAACTTTTATCATAATGGGAAGGTGGCCTTACTCTCCATTCACCTGCAGCAGAGGAAAAAAAGTAATCCTAGGCTCACTGTATTTTTTTCAAGATCTATGACTTATGTTACTGTAAAAGTTTTTGTGAAAGTAGTGTGAATGATTTACTAGGGAACGGCCACAATTTGAATGTGAAAGCCAGATCCAAAATGAAAAGCTCGGCTCTAGACCTGTAATATGCCAGACTCTCTTTACGTTTAGATTTGAGAGTTCATACTGGCTCCTTATAGAATAAAAAAGAGCAGCTGTAAAATTAGGATCTGGACTTGGACATACTAGATTTTTAATTTTGAGTTTGGATGCATGCTTATAAGAAACACTTTGGAAGTATTGTGGGAAGATCTTGCTGGTGCCACCTGTTGTATCAGTTCTCATTCTAAGACTTTACTTACAGCGTGCCAGTCATCCAGAAAATCACATTCCAATGCTTGATCTTCTTGTTGTACAGATTTGGAGCAGTTGGTCTCTTTTATAGAGAATCCTAAAATGTAACCTTCACGGGAGGCAGTCTGAAACCAAGAGGTCAAACAAGAAGTGGTAACTAGGTGTATTTAAAGTCCTGTAATTTTAAAAGCCACCATACTTCATATTTTTGTCAAAATCCTGTCTACCTCATGCTTTTGTTTTCTGTGCTGTTCAAATGTTCATACATATACACATATTCAGAAATGTAACCTTCACGGGAGGCAGTCTGAAACCAAGAGGTCAAACAAGAAGTGGTAACTAGGTGTATTTAAAGTCCTGTAATTTTAAAAGCCACCATACTTCATATTTTTGTCAAAATCCTGTCTACGCTGTTCAAATGTTCATACATATACTCATATTCAGTAAGGAAAATAGATTAGATAATTTGTACCTTACTTGCCTCACACCTTTATGAGTTCCAGGAATGGTTGCTTTATTTCTTTGTCTAGTATGTGTATGTTATGAAATATGTTACTTTTACAGCCTGTGTTCTCAGGAAGTAGCATCCTTAGAGTCTTCTCCCTAAATTGAACTGCTGTTCCTGTGAAAATACAGAGATCTGCTAGATAGCAACCACCCCTTTCCAGTGATGGGAGTGCATAGTACTACAGTGATGATGTTAATTTGGGATGAGATTCTGCCAGTTACTGTGAGATTGCTGCTTTCTCTGTTGTCAGTGGCATTATTTACAGAGAAAGCATTACTCCATAAGAACATGGGAGAAGGCCTTTCTGATCCTGTTAAAATCCATAAAGAGCTATTCCATTCTGATTCCCAACTGTAGTAGTAGTTTATTTCAAGTCTATGTTGAAGGTGTATGTAGCATATGTGTGCACACAAGTTTCACTAGTTTAACTAAATTGGTTAAAAGTGGATGTAAATACTTTATGGTATACTTTGTAATTCATAGTTTCTAAGTGTTATGCAGTCTTTCGAAATCCAGTGGTACAATCTAAATTGTCACTGTAGCTGAAGATGGCAAAAAATGAAGACAAAGCATTTAGGGAGAAATCCATGAATCTAGGCAATCTGAAAACAGCTGCTTGGTAAATGGGAGGAGGGATACATCCTGCATGGGACTACAGTGTAAAATACTGTCAAGTTTCTGAGCAATATTAAAAGCTGCAGGGAGGTGGGGTCAGCATGCTAGAATTTAGGCAGTTTCCAAGATCAACATGTATTATGGTAAGAGCCATGGGACCTCATTACAGAGGTGTCCTGAACTGGCATATGTGTTGGCAGAATGATCCTGTGCTGTTTAAGTGATGGTCTCCAGAATCTATGAACAAGAAATTGTGGTGATGTGAGAGTTACACTTCAAATCACCCAAAGGATAAACCTTCATGTCAACATCACTCAAAGGGGGAGGAGTTATTTATCAGAGCCAGTAGTTCTTCAAGAGGTACAGCACAGATACAGATTTATCTCCTGTCCTTCAGAGTTCTCAGACTGCTGCTTTGCTCTGCAGCAGAGAGTCAAAATGAGGCTGAGTGTGTTCCACTTTGTGTTGCACCCATGTGCTAACTGTTCTAAGAGTAAAAAATTATTTGACTTCAGTTGACAGAATGTATGACTGTGATAATACACATGACTGTACATCTTGAAGAACTCTGGCCAGTAGTAAATAAACTCATATGTGTTATGATATGATAGGTAAATAGGTATTCAAAATAAAAGTATGCACACAAAGAAGGCTCTGATACTTTGGATGCTATCACACTGCCGTAATTTTTAGCAGATGAGAAATCCTTTTGTTTTCACATGCCTAAATTAAAGTTGATAACAAATCTTTGCAGAAGTAGGACCTTCAATTTTAAGCAGATGATTTATGCCGAGAGGTGACAAGCAATAGTTTTGATCCTAGAAGGGTTTGAGTTCTGGTCCTATGGTTTTGGAGCTGCTCACAAAATTTTGTTGTTTGTAAGTAATTCTAGGACAAAATGCCACTTACCATCTTTAAAATCTTTTCAACTTTCTCCACGTCAAAATAGTTTGTGTGGTTACCCCCACTGTTGAATTTCTCCAGGGCCTTTGCAGCAATATTTTTATGTTGCTCGGTGACTTCTAAGACTTCAACTTTCACAGGACAATCTTTGCACTCTAATAAATCAGGAGGAACTGTGATAACAGAGAATTTACTAATATTACAATGGATATTAATACTCTTGGGAGTGTGCATGTGCCTTTGATGTGAACTCATAATAAGAAACTGAAACGCAAGCATTTTCTTGGAAGTGAAATAACCTATCCCTCACCCCACAAATATGGGTTTGTCCTATAATGTGAAAAAAACCCAAGCCTATGAAAATGAATATTCTTATAAATCTTTTAGCTTCACCTTAGAATCTTACCACCCCAAATGGGCATTGTTTCCAAGTTTATTTTTTATCTGATATTCATTATCATGTTTTGGTGGACTGGAATGGTGATATCATCTGACATTAATAAAGTCTACTTTAGAAGAGCAGGGTAACCTTAATTCTATTACTCATTCTTAACATTCCATTTGAATTATCTAAAATATGAATTGCAAGCAGATGAATGAATCTGTTACAGTTACCATACACTACTAGTGCACAGACTTGTAATTTGGTACTAGGGCTGGTTTGAGGTATGCATTGGCTTACAACAGTGTTTTTTTTACCTGGACTTAATGTACAATTAAATCCATATAGTTGAGGTTTCTTCAGCAGCTGGCTTGTGTATGTGATAATCTTACATTGCCCAAAGTCCTGAGGGGAAAGATGAATACGTGATTATGATGTTATTTTCACTGGATTTAATTGGATGTAGGTGATCACAGAAATTATGCCTCCTTTTAATGTACAGTACTTCTAAGAATAACAGATGTGGTCATCAATGGAATGTTTGATCTGGAACCACTCAAAATTTGTGTTCAGATAAAACGGGATCTCCCTCTACAAGAGCCTTTATTTTAATTCTCAGTTTGCACTACTGAGTAGACAATGCAAAATGAAACCAGCCTTCTCAGTCATTCTAATACTTATTTACAGTAAGCTAATACTAGCTAACAGGAGAAGTTAGGATGCCAGAAATACTCAAGGTTACATAAATCTTTATCAAAAAGTGGATGGACCTCTTCTTCTGTTCCTTTTCCCCATCTTAATAAAAAGAGTAAATGCCTTCTTTTCTCTCCTCATGGGCTTCCTGCTTTGTCCTGTATGGTAGTATCACCACTCTCCGATTTAAATAAAGTTTTGGACTGGTAGTTCTCATCCCAGACTGCATCATTGGACTGCAACAATAAAGGGCAAGTATTGCTACGTATCATGTGTGTACTGACACTACCAACATTTCACATTGTCATACAAATGCTATGACAGAAAACTGACATAATATAACACTGGTATTTCTGACTAAAATACTAGGAACATGCTTTAAAAATAATTTCCAGTGCCTTTTAGTTGTGAGCAGTGGAATGTGGAGTATAGCTCCTTTGAGACAATTAGTTAAATAAAGCTGCACTTATTCGAGGAGTTGACCCTTTTCCAAACCTTTAACTTATGTTTAACAACTCTAGAATTCAATAGATTTTATTTTATAGTGAGCCATATTAAAGCCTAGTTTTAACTTAGAGATTTTTGTGACATGGAAATTTCTGCGCAGTTCAGATGAAGACCAAGTTAATGCATTATTGACATATGACTCTGCCTGGGTGCCATTACTTGCCATGGAATAGATGTCACTGTATTCACAAGACTCCCAGTGTCTTCTGGATAACACAGAGCATTCAGTTTCCAGCACATCCAAAGTTAAGTAGAGGACTGATGAATTTCCCTAGAAGAGAAGTGCAGGTAAAAAAGAGTTTGTATACAAGAAGTTTGGTCTGAAAGAACTTTTTTTGAAGTAGATATATTTAATCTTTAATGTAGCTTCCCCAGTTCCCTATCAAGGTTTTTCTGAGCTGACAAGTGTAGAAAGGGTTTAGAATGGAAGAGACCTTTGGAGGTCACCTTGTCCAGCCACTTGCTGAAGGCAAACCTAACTTCAAAGTTAGATTCAGCTGAGTTCTGTATATCACCAAGACAGATGTTCCACAACCTCTCTGGGCTGTTTCAGTACTTAACCACTTTCTCTGTGATTTTTTTTTTTCAGCCTTACATCTAGTCAGAATTTCCCTTCCTGCAACTTACAACTGTTGCCCATTATCCTTTTACTGAGAACCTGTGAGAAGAGTCCGTTGTTAACCTAGCATCCATCAAGTAGGGAAAATGCCAGTGTCAAAAAGTTGCCATTCCCTCTTTCCGATTTTCACATAGAACATATTGCTGTCTTAGGAAATCAGTTGTCTAGGCAGCCAATTATGTAGCTACATCCATTTCAAATGACCTTAGTGACCAGATACTCTTTTAGAACTTTGCTTCTGGCTCAGTTTATTCAGGGAGTGATGCAACAAAGCTGTAATAATCCATAGAAAGTCAGGAGTCTTAGCTCTGAAATTCATCTAGTATGTTCAGTCTCCTGAGCAAATAGGATGGAGAATCAGAATTTGAATTTGTCTGCCAGTGCAATGGGATGTGGTGTTAAGTATTATCTGTGGCCCACAGAAATGATTTTGTATTTTACTGCAGGAAAATGAATCTCAATTCACATTTGGAATGGATTGTTTACTTTGTTCAACACTTGTATGGACATTCAGAATGAATGCAGGCATATTTTATTCTGTCGTCTAGATAAAATGATGCAAAGCCCTTCACTGTGAATATGTGTCCTCACATTTTATGAAATTTCATCCATTCAGATTCCTTTTTCAGAGTGTTTCTGTACAGATGAGACCTTGAGAAGGAATTACTGCAGTCTAGTGTAATATTTTTATTAGTGAGAGTCCACCAGTGTCATATTGAACACTAGTTTTGCAGTATGTGTATGTCTTCACATTGTCTCTGTTTTTAAAATATGGGCTAGGTGATTTGCACAAAGACACATGTTATTCAATGGCAGAATGAGGAAAAGAATGTAGTTGTCCTGGAGACCCATCCTGCCCACTAGCTACATGATTATTCTCTGCTTAGGAGTAGTTAGTATTTCTGTTTTATTTTATAAATCCCAATAATTTCAAGCTGCTAGTCAGCATATTAGTAAAGTGCAGACAGAGAAGAGAACAGAGTCAATGAGAAAGACTATTTTTTTCTGATTTGTGTTTATGGAATTGTACCGAATGGAAAGGTAGGGTAGGTAAGATAGTCTTTTGTAAGCTGTGCTATTCACTAGGAGCCCTCTAAAACTGAAATGACTAAATACATTGTTTGTCATCCAAACTTGTGAAATGCTAAAGAAGCCAGTTCACCCCTGGCAAATATTTATTTTCTTCAGCAG